CTTTGTGAAGCGCTGGAGCAGCCACCCTTCTTTTGTTTAGCAACACAGAAGGGCAGGCCTTTAAGAGGACAATAGAAATTCCATTCTAAACAAATTTTAGGTAACAACTTCTGAAGCTATGTTCTAAGGGGAAGTGACTTTCAAATTTAACTATGCTGTGTCTGTTGCCTACTTCCCTCCAGTACCTACCGTCTACCTCGGCAGGATATCTGTTCCACGCTTCACACATAGACTTCACGTTACACCGTTTCCTGATTGTGTCTATCTTTGACAGCTAGATGGACAGCTATTCCTGCTAACTCTGTATCTCCCCAGATGCAGAGCCATTATCACTTTTTCCTAAGTGTCACCTGCTCAAAGCACTGGACGCTAATGTATTCGGACTGATTGACTCAAGCGACTTAAACCTGTCATCTCTGTCTGGAAGATGATGAGAAGAAACCACACAGTGGTGAGCGAATTTGTTTTCCAAGGTTTCTCCAGCTTCCAGGAATTTAAGCTTACTCTCTTTACGATATTTCTGACCTTGTACCTGCTAACCCTCACTGGCAATGTCATTATTGTGATAATTATCAGCATTGATCGTCACCTTCACACTCCCATGTACTTTTTTCTTAGTATGCTTTCTACTTCAGAGACAGTGTACACACTGGTTATTGTGCCAAGGATGCTTTCCAGCCTTGTAGGTTCAAGCCAATCCATTTCTTTGGCTGGCTGTGCTACCCAGATGTTCTTTTTCATTACTTTGGCCATTAACAACTGTTTTCTGCTCACAGCAATGGGATATGACCGCTATGTAGCCATCTGCAACCCCTTGAGGTACACAGTCATCATGAACAAGGGGGTATGTGCCCAGCTAGTATGGGGGTCCTGCAGCATTGGGCTGCTTGTGGCCATAATTCAAATAGCATCTGTGTTCAGGGCACCTTTCTGTGACAAAGAGGTAGCTCACTATTTCTGTGATATCCGCCCTGTTATGAAACTGTCTTGTGCAGATACTACTCTACATGACATAGTGAACTTTATCATCAGCTCACTGGTTATTGTGGTGCCCATGGGCTTGGTTTTCATCTCGTATGTTCTCATCATCTCCACCATCCTCAAGATTGCCTCTGCTGAGGGAAGGAAGAAGGCCTTTGCAACTTGTGCCTCCCACCTCACTGTGGTCATCATCCACTACGGCTGTGCCTCTATTGCCTACCTCAAGCCCAAATCAGAGAACACCAGGGATCAAGACCAGCTGATCTCAGTAACTTATACTGTTTTTACTCCTCTGCTCAACCCTGTGGTATATACCTTGAGAAACAAAGAAGTCAAGGACGCCATTTACCGTGCTATTAGGAAAAAAACTCTTGCCTAGTATATTTGGAATTCCCTTTATCTGTCTATTTTCAGTTAATCATGGTCAATTCTGATCTAAAAATATAAACAGAATATTCCTAATACAAACAATTCTTCAGTTTTAAATTATCTGCCATTATAAGTAACATGATGAAAACTAGTACAGCTCTGACCAATCCTGCTTGAACCATGAATCATTTCTTCATTCTGTTCTAGATGCCATCTACTGATGCTATATAGTATCAGTGTCTTGAGAACAAAACACAGAAAACAGTCACATACCATTTTATTACAAACTATTGTTATAATTGTTCTGTTGTGTTGTTAGCATTTGTCTTTTTATGTGTGGTTATGTGCACGATTCATGTGTGTGTGTGCATATTTGAATGTATATGTGTATATGTGGGGTGTTTCATATACGTATATATGTATATACAGAGTTCTACTTTTGATACTGGGAATCTTCCTTGATTGCTCTTCTACCCTATTCTCTAAGTTGGGGTTTCTCAATCAAGCTCAGAGCTAATAGATATGGCTAGTCTCTTTAACGGGCTTTGCTTTGAGGAGTCCCTGTGTCCACCACCTGAAGATGGAATTGCAGGAAAGTTGCCCTCTCCATCTGGCATTTACAAGGGCTGTGGGGGTTGGAATTCCAGTCTTCACATTTGCGTGACAAGTGCTCGATCCAAAGAGCCATTTCCACATCATTAGCTTTTGTGCTAATCTCTTGGTGTGCTTAATTTGTAGATTAAACTTTATCATAGACATGTATAAGTAAGAGAAACAGTATATATAAGGTTAAGTATGGGTTAAGCATATAACCCATATGGGCAGGGCTTAAAACATATCCCTCATGGATAAAGGAGAGATACTATATAGTCAGTCACAGTCTAATTTTTTTCTTTGTCAATTGAGAAATATTTTTTCATAATATATAATCTGATCATACTTTCCCTTCCAACTCCTCACAGATAATCCCCACTTCCTCACCCACCCAACTCCCCCAACTACCACAACAAAAATAAAACAACAAATAAAAAAAAGAAACATGCACACACACACAGCCCCCACAAAAACACAAGAACTAAAACAAAAATATTCAAGTAAAAAGGTCTGGGTAATGTTGAAAGCTCAAAAAACAATTTTTTTTCGGTCATTCCACCTATACTCAGAAGAAATTGCAAAATTTGATGGTGAGTCTACATTAAAGAATTACACGAATGTACTAAAGTTTGATTCTTCTTTTTATTTTACATTTATTTTCTTTTAATTAAGACTTAAATTCTCTCCACGGTGTGAGAGATTGAACTCTGCACCTTGCACATGTGAGGCAAATGTTCTACCATTCAGCTCCACTCCCGCCTTCTTGCTTTTATCATTATTCTGCTATAGCTTTTATGGTCTTCCAGGTTGCCACCAGAGCAATGACCAGATGCAGCTTATGAGCTGGGAATTGAGGAGGCATCGTAATCCAGGGTGGAGTTCATTATTACCAGTTCATTGATGGCAGAAAAGTGGGTTGTGTGGTGCCTCTATGAATGCCATGTTAAAAAATCACCATGAACATCAGGCAGATACTGAGTTCTAGAGCTCCGCAGAGGGCATAGCTGAGGTCCAGGTGGGCTAAAATCCATCTGAGCTCCCTCTTCTACTTAGACCACTTTCTTCTTTGGGCAGTGATGACAGCTATACACTCTGACTGCCCCTCAGAAACACTATCATATATAAACATTCTCACCTGCCTTGGAGATCTGTGCAATTTTTATCCAATTTTTTGAGACTCACACTAAAAGCAGTCCCTCCATGAATCTGGAGCACCAGTATGGTCAGTGTTATTAGCCACATTCACCAAGTTCAGAACTTCACCACACTTTCTGTGGAGTAACACAGGGATGTCTGAAGAAAGATGCTTTTGAAATTAAATACATTAATTCCATGCCTTAACTAAGTCCTGATGTTGCTCAAATGAAAATTAGCCCATAATTTTCATTCTTGTTTATGGAAAATATGACCTGATACTTGTGTTTTGTCTTTACCTTCTTTGTTGCTACACTGATGATCTTCTTCTATGTGACTTTTTAGGTAGTTCCTTTAAACCATCGGTTTTCAACCTGTGGGTTGTGACCCCTTTGAGCTTGAATGACCCTTGACCTTTGAGCTTGAATAGCTGCATATCAGTTATCCTGCACATAAGATATTCACATTACAGTTCATAAAAGCCACAAATTACAGTTATGAAGAAACAACTACAATGGTATGGGGTCACCACAACATGAGGGTCTGTATTAAAGGGTTGCAGAATTAGGAAGAGTGAGAACTTTAATTTTAAACATTTTTCTATACAAGAATTTGGGGTTTCCCTAACCCCTGTGCCATTGCTCTCTAAAGGAGAAGGTTATTTTTTTATTGTGTGAAAAAAGCTTAAGAGTTAGAATTATTTAGCCTTGTGAAGAGACTGGATGTGCTACATTTATTGTGGCCCATACAAAACTAAAGAAAAATATTCATCTTCTTCTCAAGAATCCTATTAAAAATGCACAGAAATCACACTTCAATTTAAGTCCAGGGCCTCCGTGTCTCTCGTGGTAATGTGAGAGCCAAAGTTATGTTTTAAGTTTTAATTACTGTGCCTAAGTGATCCATGAAACAGAAATGTCTGTACCGTGTAAGGCTCTTGCCCATGGACAGTTACTGGAGGCTATTATTTACGGGAGATAACAAGACACCTGTTTTGTTTCCCTAAATAATTTGGTTTGACTCAACTGCACCGAATGTGCTTGATCACATGTAGGTGGGAGGTATGCAGTCAAGAAATACATCAGGGTGTGCACTTTGCCCCTGATTGGATCTAAGTGGAAAGTACATAGGCAGGAAGTATGTCAGGATATATGCTTGTCCCTGATTGAACCCCGTGAGAAATACGGTTGTCTTGTGGATATGTTTGTACAGGCCTGTGCAAAATGTCACTCCTTGTCATTTTCAGGGAACCCCAGAATGATCCTGGCCAGTATTTAATTAAAGCTTGCTTCAAATTTGGCACAGAAATTGTGATACTGGCCTTTCCCTTGTGATTCAGGTTTAACAGTAGGAAGGTCAAAAAGGGACGTGTGTGCTTGTTCTGGGATAGCTACTTCCCAGGAAAGCTGAGAGAAAGTGAAGAGGGACCTCCAGCAGAACTGATTTTTGTCTTTTGGGGGCTTCGCTAAGAATGCCTTTGAAGACATCATTGATTATTTTCTAGGTGTGTAAATGGGCGTTTTCTCAACCTAGCCCCTGAGAAGCCTTCTTCTGAAGCTCCCTTTGGAGGTCTGCCTCCCTTAGGCAGTCTGTTCCTGAAGGCCTTCTCAGAAGCCACATTTTGTTCACAGGTTTCTAGATTTGAGTACAGAGAACCACCATCCAGCCTCCCCCATATGCGCAAAATTCTACAAGATGGGTGTCCAGTTCTGAGAGCAGTGTGTTCCCCTACCTATTATGCAGACAAGTGTGGTACAATTGACCTCACTTTTTGTAACAGTAAATAATATATAGCCAAGGCTCAATTTGTTTGCCATTTCAACACAATCCACACTTCTACTGTAACAGAAACAAGAACAGATTTAATTTCAAAGAGTATGTGATTATTACTAGATACAAATTATGACTGACAAGAAAGAAGTTTAATCCCACAGTTTGGGTTTAGTCACCACATAGCCATTGTCTTCAAAAATAAGAGATTGCCAATTTATAAGGTTGCCACTGCGACACCCGTCATCCATCATTTTTAGGGGGACCACATGGTCCCACATGGCCACCTCCCAAATATCCCCAACAAAGGATTGTTTTATATCAAAACGTCCCCCAAAGGAATCCTGCTCTTGTCCTATGATAATCTTTGCCTCACCACCCACAGTGTACCCCTTCTTCAAGCCCTTTCTTCCCAAAGGCTTTCCATTTAGCCAGAGTTCTGCAATCCCAGAGGCAGACTCCCAGCTCACACAGATATGGATTGGGGCATAGGGATTTAGGGGTGCTTTGAAAATGACTCCCCAATTCCCAACATAGAACATGTACTCTCCCACTTTCTCCACAAAGAGAAGAATCTCATTGTCCTTGGTCTTTGTATTGTAGGAGAAGAGGCTGTAAGGGCGGGTGAGGTCAGTGAAGGCCTTCAGACACAAGGTGAAGTTCTGCAGTGACTTCTTCACCTGCGGGATCAGGGACACATAGGCAGTGGCCGATTCTTGAGGGAAAATAAATGCCTTCCCCTTCATGTCTGTGAAGAAAAGACAGAAAGACAAATATTCTATCAGCTCTGCTGTTTGGTTTGTTCTTTTTGTGGCCCTAGAGCTGCTTCCCAGCAGAGTATTATAGCACATTGGTGCACAAAGAGACCTACAAGTGTGTGAATTAGGGGGCTAAACAGCTATACGGTGTCAAGGCAGGCCTGGAAGGACAGTCCATGGCAGCCATCTCAGCACTTGAGAGATGGAGGCCTTCTAATCTATGTGGTGAGTCCTAGGCAAACCTGAGCTACCTGAGACCTTGTCTCAAACAAAACAAAGCCAAACCAAGCAATGAAAAGATACATTTGGGTTCAGTATATCAGTTACAAAAGTCAAAGTTTCCTGTATCAACTCTACCTCCATCTTTGTTGAGACACCACTGAGATAAAAAGAAGTGCCAGCGACAGACAATTAAACATAACTGAATCATTGCAGTGGATAAAGCATGGGGCACTGCATGTTCTTCTACCACAGACTGAATCATATTTCTCCTAGAGAATAATTCATGATCCTAGAGAAGCTAAATAGGAAGGTGAACCCCCCCCCAAAAAAATGTAGTTATGTTCCTAGATATTGGAAGTAGACAAGATTGCCAGGCAAAAAAAAAAAATGAGAGCTTTGGGGTAGTGGTGGGATAAGGGTAAGGGGAGATGGGGAGAGAGAAGTGAGAAGGGGAGGATGGGGAGAGCTAGGGGGAATGGGATGGTTATGATGGAGGAAGAGTAGATATGGGAGCAGGGAAGTATATATCTTAATTAAGGGAGTCATTTTAAGGTTGGCAAGAGACTGGACTCTAGAGGGGTTCCCAAGTGTCTAAGGAGATGTCCCCAGCTTGTTCCTTGAGCAGCTGAGGAGAGGGCACCTGAACTGGCCCTATCCTATAGCCACACTGATGAATATCTTGCATATCACCATAGAACCTTCATCTGGAAATGGATGAAGATAGAGACAGAAACCCACATTGGAGCACTGGACTGAGCTCCCAAGGTCCAAATGAGGAGCAGAAGAAGAGAGAACATGAGCAAGGAAGTCAGGACCACGAGGGGTGCGCCCACCCACTGAGACAGTGGAGCTGATCTAAAGAGAACTCACCAAGGCCAGCTGGACTGGGACTGATGGAGCATATGATCAAACTGGACTCTCTGAACGTGGCTGACAAGGAGGGCTGACTGAGAAGCCAAGGACAATGGCACTGGGTTTTGATTCTACTGCATGTACTGGCTTTGTGGGAACCTAGTCTGTTTGGATGCTCACCTTCCTAGACCTGAATGGAGGGGGAAGGACCTTGGACTTCCCACAGGGCAGGGAACCCTGACTGCTCTTTGGACTGGGAAATGGGGGGAGGGAGAGGTAAATGAGAGGAGGGGAGGAGGTGAAAATTTGTAATAATAATAATAAAGAATTCCTGTAACTGGGGTTACAGACATCCTGGATCTTGTGATGAGCCAACACTTATGATTGGTGTGAAGTCTGAGGAGCAGAATCATGTAAATTTCTTGGCCCAGACCATGATAGTACTGTACCCTCATCCTCCCTCTCTCCCACACTTCCTATATACAATAAAGACCAATTTTCTACTGCAGCAACAGGATCAAAGGATTATTTACTATGGATGTATTTTGTCTTAAAAACCATGTGAAAAGATGAAGCTATAATCATAAGAATGATTTCTTCCTGGTTCGGAAAAGTAAATTTAACTAATGCTATAGTTTGGAGAATAAACTCTAGAATAATGGCTAACTGAATCAGAGGTGACATGGCCTAGAAATAATATAAAGTCTTAGAATTGAGTTAGCTTTGCTTCATAGCAGGAAATGAGAAAACAGCATGAATTCTATTTCCTAATACATAAGGGCTTCTTAAGAAATGCTTATACCCTGGACCCCTAGAGAATAGGAATGGAATGCTTCCAGAAAAGAGGGCTAGCTAAAGTATATGAGAGAGACAGATAGAGAAGGCGAGATGGGGGGGGAGGTGGGGGAGAGACACTAAACTTCTGTCAGTACAACAGCAACCCGGGGATTGGAGTGTAAACCATGTATTTATGTCCTGTGATCAATTATCTTCCTGTTTGTAACCTTGTCAGTGCACAAACTTGGAACAAAATATCACAGTTAGCCTGAAATAATGTATAACTCATTGCTGACAGCAACACTGAGGTACAGGGAAATGAGTGTCAAGTTTTCTTACTGGCAGCCACGGGAAAGAAAATGTAAAGCCGCCAAAGCAGCAAACCGTCTTCTTTGATAGTAAAAAGCGAGTTTCGTAACTTGCATCACAAGCTCATTCTTCCTCTCATTTATCTCAGCGCCGTGTATGGGGTGGGTGGTACTTCTTTCTCCATTGCATTGGTGAAGAAGTGAGGCTCAGAGTCCTTCCACTTCACAACGGTTGTTTAGTTACCCAATTATTAGGGAGAGATGGGTTTCTGATAGAAAGGCCAAACATCTCCTCTACCAACTTGTCTTTTTCTAGGAAAAAAAACATAAATTATGTTCCCTCTCCTCTTATTGTAGATGAGTAGTCACTGTGCTCTCATCGAGGAAGTGAATCCACTCTCCTCCACACTTCTTTCTTGAACCCAGAGACATCCTTACACCCTGGTATAGTAAGAAATATCCTTAGTCGGCAATACCTGTGGCAGTTTTTAAAATATGACCTAAATTAATTCTCTTCCATTTGGGTATGGGCTGATTCACTGGTAAGGAGTGGAACATATTTGGAGAATATGTTTCTAAGATTTGATTACAGAATGGCTGTTGCTTTTGAACTGACGTTCCTTCCAGTCCGTTTTGTAGAAAGGGCCTCAATGACGGGAGACTAAGAGGGATCTGCAGTCAATAGACAATAAGGAACTCAGGCCCTTGACCAGCTTCCTGAAATGAGCAGAAATTGATTAACCGAGAAGTTTGGGGCCAGGCTGTGGTGGTGCATGCCTTTAATTCCAACACTCAAGAGGAAGAGACAGGTGGATCTCTGTGAGTTCGAGGCCAGCCTGGTCTACAGAGTAGGTTCTAGGACAGGCTCCAAAAGACACTGTCTTGAAAAATTGCTTAAAAGCAAAAACAAACAAGCAGAGATAACTGAGAAATTTCGGAGCAGAGCAACCTTTAGAGAACAGTTGAAATACTGCAGTTCCATAGAGACCTGTGCTTGGAGACAGTAGCTAGACCAGTCTCTGTTTTCTGTCACACAAAAGACACAAGACAGTAAGCACTCACAGTTTCCAGCTGCATCACAGATAAGAGTAAATGACTCCCACACCCCCTTCACTCACATCTTCCTGAAAACAGCAACAGCAAAAGCTGTTGGACCCTATCTGTTCTAGGCAAGGAGAGTTTCCCATCAGGGATCAGCACTTACCTAATTGGGCTACACCTCCTGTAAGAACAGAGAGAAGCAGGGCACCCACAATGAGCTTGGCCATCTGCTCTTTGTAGACTCCTCTGGTAGTAGAGGGCAGCAACAATTGTCTCTGTGGAGAGACATTCACTGCTGGGCTCTTATATTGCACTCATAGGGACAACACCTTTGTTTTCACAACAGAAAGACAAACTTATAAAAGGTTAATATTAACTTAACCATTATGTGGTGTTAAAGCCAATGTGTTAGTAGCTCAAATAATATAAAATATCTTGGGGAAACTCTAAACAAGCAAATTAAAGACCCTCATGATAAAAAGTATAAGGCATTGAAAAAAGAAACGGAAGCTATCAGAAGATGGAAAGACATCTCATGCTCATGAATCAGTAAGATTAGCATAGTAAAAAATGACCATCCTACCCAAAGCTATCTACGTATTCAACCAAATCCCCATCAAAATTTTGACACAATCTTTACAGAACTTGAAAGGACAATTTTCAGCTTCATATGAAAACACAGAAAATCCAGTACAGCTAAAACCCTCTACACAATAAAAGAACTGTGGGAGGTATCACTATCCCTAATCTAAATTGTATAGAACTATGATTAAAAACAGCATGGTATTGGTACAAAACTAGATATATTGATCAAGGGGATAGAATTGAAGACCTTGTTTAAGGTCTGGGGTATAACTGCCGAAGGGTCTTAGTGGATTCAGAGGATGGTGGGGTTACACAAAGTTGCAGCAGGAAGACTCCTTGGTTTGTAGCAGAGTGGAAAACCAGCTCTTAGATACAGTTGCCAATTTTCTTTAAAAGAAATCCTTGACACTGAGTGTTAAGATGACCTCTCATATGTCTCCAGTCAGGTCACCTTTGTAGTAACTTAGGAGCTCAAGTGAGCTATCTATGAAGTTGAATAGACTCAGCCTTTTTCAAAAGGGCATGAAATAATGCTTAAACTCATGGCATGGTCAAGCTTTGCAATGACATAAAGCTAAGATTTAAAAACCTGACTATATTTCATTGAGATATTTCTTTACTTGTTTACAATAAAAACCATTGAATGTTGCATTATTTGGTTGCTCCTCTGTTGCTTACCACATAGTTTAAGTCTTTAAAGCCAAGAACATATGGGTTCAGTATGTTTCCCCCCCCCTCTGGTTCAATCTCTTGATCCTATCACTATGATTGAACTTATAATAAGAACTCTAAAATTATTTGTGTAGTGAATGCCTGTGGCATTTCCCAGTGAATGAGAAGAAAATTCTATGTATTGCAGCTCTGTGCTAACAAAAGCCACTATGATTGTGGTGGTCTGTTTTCACTTAATTATGAGTGCAATGAACCACATTGAAAGTCAGTTTTAAAAACAACACGTATTTATTTACCCACAAGCCTGTGAGTTGGTGATTTGAACTCCAATTCTTTTATGCTCAGTGGAGTGATTAGCGAATGAGCTAGTTGGTAGACAGTAATAGCACATGAGTCAGAAATGGAGTAGCTTGAATCTCATCACATATGATCCTTGTCTAGTTTGTGTAATTTCAAATTAACCTAAATCAATCTTGTTTTCTCTGTTCCTTTTAATTCTAAAGTGACATCCATACAGGCAAATTGAAAGAACACCCAATTTTAGAAATAATTTACAGCATGTTTCTACACAGTACAAAATAAATAAGTTAATATGTTATTCTATCCTGATATGTTGTAATTAAAAGTTAAATTATAAGCTAGTTTTATTGTTCTTTAATAACAATCCATAAAATATATTTAAAAAGATAAATCTGAGTTATTTGCATTAAATAAATGTTTTATATTATTGACTGAACTTTAAATTAGTTATGAAAAGATGTAATTTATAGATACATTTAAAATACATTTTGCTTATCACATTCAACTTGGAGATGGCACTGTGTGTATTAAATAAATGCAGATCAAAATGTATTTTTGCTATATCATGAATGCACAAAAATAGTTTGATTATTGTGATTTTTTGTTCTGCTACTAGACCTTAAAAATACAACTTAAAACCCCTTATGTTTAGTTTTTAAATGTTTATTACAGCTTCCAAAGATTTAATTAAAAGCTAGGGATATCCCTGGTGCCATATGGGACCTACTGTATTTGGCTATTTCTGACATTAAGTAGAAATAAGTTTTAAAAATAAGTTATTTGTATAAGTTTAAAGTGTGTGTGTGTGTGTACAAAGGTACGCACATGCAAATGAATAATCAACACATACTCATTTTAAGGGTTTTCTTGAGGAAGAAAACAGAGGGCAAAGAATTGAAAATTTCTGGCTTATCCATACCACCCATTAAAAGGAAACAGGGAAATGGATTTAGATATGGGGCAGCCAAAGAATGTTGCAGCAGCTGTATTTCAGTAGCTATGCCTCTTGGCTAGGCAGGAAGCAAGTAATGATCAAGAAGACTGCTGTGTGCTAGTGGAACCACCCCTTGATCATCAGAACCCCGCTCCATCCCACCCCTGGTTAAACAGCTTTGGAACTGTGTTTATGTTCTTCCTGGTGTATCAGAGTAAAGCATTAGGGATCTTTTCTAGACACCTCACATGCAAACCAGTGACAAGGCTGTATTTTCAAAAGACCCTGGCTTCTTTACATTACAGTTTGCATTGTAGTTTCAAAACAACTCTCCTCACCTCCAGTGCCCATAGTCACTAACTGTGAGTGTTTATTTAAGATCTTAGGAATAAATGCCTTAATAGAGATATCGTATCCATCATCCTCATAAATAAATATCCATAGTACTTTTTTAAATGCCCACTACACAGAACCCAATGGGCTATCCTACTCCATTAGACCAATTCAACCTAGTCACTCTGTAAGGTACTGTCTTTTGTTAAATAAGTCACTGCTTAAATCTACTATGTCAATATTCTGAATTTTTTTCATCAACAAATAAAGTGAAGGAGAAATCTTCATTTGATAACAAATCAATTAAAACAAATATATATGGTAAATACCTGATATCTGGTGTAAAATTTTAGTAACTTTATCTTTTGCAAATTTAAATTTTGCGTAATTGTTATATTTAATTTTATGGACATCCTCATGTCCTCATGTCCATTTTCTAAGGTAACAGTTTTATTTCCTCATTAACTTATTACAGTTCAATATGAGTGTTCCTTATGATCTATAATTTAACCAATAATTTATTTTATGTGGGTTTAATAAGAAATAGATCTATGACTAAGAATAAAAAGAATATTATGCTCAAAGTCACCACTAATCAAGCAATGATAAATACCCACAAGTGCCTGAGTCATGGAGTTATAGTCCTGCTCAGATGATGCTCAACTAGAGGGCTTTCATAGGTTCCATTCTTAACAAGGTCAAGAAGCAGTGAGTATTGCCATTGCTTTCATTTTACACACACAGTTCAACCATGAACAAGATCAGCTTTGTTATTGAGGCATTAGTTGTTCATATTCCCACATCGCCCCAAGACCTGGAAACTCAGATCCTAAATATTCGAAATACTATGAAAGCATACTGCCTACTCTCTGGTCTGACACGCTCTTCTGTCTCTGTTGCTAAAAACTAAAATGGAAACTAAAAGACAGGGCACAATACAGTAACAAGAATTGCTCAAGCTCAAGAATTGCTCATTTTACTATAAAGTTATTCTTTAAACTTGGCTTCTCTGAGCTATAACAACTTAGTGCGGTTAAATGGTTAATGTAACCTTGACTACAACTACTGTAGCTCTGTGAATCCTCCTACTCTGTGTTTGCCAGGAATGGCACAGTTTCGAGTAGTCCTGTACTGAAAGAGAAGGAGGAGACCTGAACTGGATTGGTGCTTATGGAGGAAGAATTGGAGTCTGAATGGAAAGAGGAATTAGAAAGGGAGGAAATGGCTTTGAACATCAGAGACAGAGAAAGGAAGCTGGCTTAGTTCCTGGATGGGAATGCCATGCTTGATGTGGGATTCCCCTCTGTATGCTGTGAATACCATTGGTTGATAGAGAAACTGTCCCAGTCCTGCACAGGGCAGAATATAGGTAGGTGGGGAAAACTAAACTGAATGCTGGGAGAAAGAAGGTGGAGTCAGAGAGAAGCCATGTAGCCCGACTGGAGACAGGGGCTGGAACTTTACCCAGTAAGCCATGGCCTTGTGTCAATACATAGCTTAATGAAGATGAGTTAGCCAGAAATACACTTAAACTATTGGCCAAACAGTATTGTAAATAATATGGTTTCTATGTGAACATTTCCACACTGAGCAGCCAGGAACAAACAAGAGGACTCTCATTACAACTATGGCTTTTTATTGAGAGATTGGGATGTGGTGTGAGGCCTGTTTGCTGGAGGAAAGAAATGCTTCTGAACAAACAGCCTCCACTTATCTCTTTCTAACTGGGTGACCTTCAGGGTATCAGACACTCCCATGAGCTTCATCTTCCTTGTTTTTAAAACAGAAATGAAAAGACCAGCTATAGAATTGTTATAAATATTGCATGTTATTAACTACAAGGTTTGAATTATTTAAATATTATAAATATATTGGAAGCTAACATAAAAAATATTTTAAAAAATTTTAAGCATTACCACAAACTCAGAAATTATTTCTGTGTTTCTACCCTCCAGGTAGATTTCTCAAATCAACAACATTTTCTTAAAAAATGATTTCAAACTAAATCACAGACTTGAACAAAAACAATTAGCAGCATAGAAAAAATTTTGAAATATTCTGAAAATCATATTCATGACAGAAAAAGGCCTTGGTACATCTTTAATGTTGAAAATAGTCTTAAAAATCCTATTATAAATCATGTTGACTGGATATAAGTAGATAAAATAATGAAATTGGACATAATTGTATACCGTATATAAAAGTCAACTGAACACTGATTAAAATTTTTAATGTCAGATCAATAATGTAAAACTCCTAGAGCTAAAATAAAGTAAATAAGATCAACTTTGTCATTAATATTAACCTTGTCAATGCCACTTCTTTAGTTATTGCATCATGAACAATCAGAGCCAAAACTAAAAATGGGACTATTACCCAATAGTATTAGAAATTCCTCAAAAA